ATATACTTCATTGAATGTCAGGAACCTATCTAAGGGGCATTAAGTGGTTAATTGGCACAAGGATCTAAATTAGACACCATCAATCTACCCCCAATTTACAGATGACAAAACCCAGCACCAGAGTTAATTAATTGGCCCCAATCTCACAATCGTTAAAGGGAGATGAGATGCAACTCGGGTCTGGATTCAGGCCGTATTCTCAGCTAACCCAGGGTGGATGTTTCAGAGGCTCCTTTCACCTCCCTTTTGAGCTTTAGGTGGTGCTTTGACTGTTAACCCGCGGAGCTCAACGCCCCCGCCGGACAGGGCGGGGAGGTTGCGAACCCGCTCGGGGTTTGCCTTCCGGGCCATCAACACGTAATTTGCGAGGCGACGCGACGCGACGTTCAGAGACCGCGGTCCAGGCCTGCAGTTAACCCGTCCAGTCCACAGCCAGGCCCTGCGACTGTAGGAAACGCGTGGTTATCTTACTCCGTGACTATTTTCTAGAAGCAGCCCCGTTTTTAGCAACACTTGAAGCCCTCCCTAAGGTCTGAAAGGTGCATTTGTATTGCTATAGGTTGGGGGGAAATTAGCTTACCTTTGTGCATTTTCCCCCTATTTAACCTAGTGACATTAGCTCTTCTTGGGAGATGGGGCGGGGGCTCTGAAAAGAGCCTTTGGGTTTCAAAGCGTCTCCGGAAACGGGTGCCTGTCAAATCACTTTCCCTTGGCCTTGTGGTGGCTCTCGGTCTTCTTGGGCAGCAGCACGGCCTGGATGTTGGGCAGGACGCCGCCCTGCGCGATGGTGACCTTGCCCAGCAGCTTGTTGAGCTCCTCGTCGTTGCGGATGGCCAGCTGCAGGTGGCGCGGGATGATGCGCGTCTTCTTGTTGTCGCGGGCCGCGTTGCCCGCCAGCTCCAGGATCTCGGCCGTCAGGTACTCCAGCACGGCCGCCAGGTACACGGGCGCGCCCGCCCCGACCCGCTCCGCGTAGTTGCCCTTGCGCAGCAGGCGGTGCACGCGGCCCACGGGGAACTGCAGGCCGGCCCGCGAGGAGCGAGACTTTGCCTTGGCCCGAGCCTTACCTCCTTGCTTCCCGCGTCCAGACATTGGAAACAGAAAAAGGGCCCTGCAAAACCAAAAGTAAGCACTCGCCCGAACAGACCAATTCTGGGAGTAGGCGGAACACGCCCGCTTTTATAGGCAGTTCCTGGGGAGCAATATGGATTGTCTGATTGGCTAGGAACAGCCTCAGTCAAGCAGCCAATAGAAAAGTCCTCATTTCCATACCTAATTTGCATAGATCCGCCCAAGGATGGCTGCCCTGGCGTTTGTCTTCCAATGAACTAAGAGATCCTCTGCATCCTTCATTAGCATAAAGGCCCTATAAGTAGCAGAGATTCCGGCTCAACTTCGTTTTACCTCTGGAGTTTTGAGCATTTGAAATGCCTGAGCCAGCGAAGTCTGCGCCCGCCCCGAAGAAGGGCTCCAAGAAGGCGGTGACCAAGGCGCAGAAGAAGGACGGCAAGAAGCGCAAGCGCAGCCGCAAGGAGAGCTACTCGGTCTACGTGTACAAGGTGCTGAAGCAGGTGCACCCCGACACCGGCATCTCGTCCAAGGCCATGGGCATCATGAACTCCTTCGTCAACGACATCTTCGAGCGCATCGCGGGCGAGGCGTCGCGCCTGGCGCATTACAACAAGCGCTCGACCATCACGTCGCGGGAGATCCAGACGGCCGTGCGCCTGCTGCTGCCCGGCGAGCTGGCCAAGCACGCCGTGTCCGAGGGCACCAAGGCCGTCACCAAGTACACCAGCTCCAAGTAGACGCGCAAGTAAGCGGCTGACTCCTAACCCCAAAGGCTCTTTTCAGAGCCACCCACATGTTTACAAACAGAGCTGTGGTCAGAAACTGAAACTGCGTACTCGAGTTGGGGCCAAGTATTGGACCTTGATTGGAAAAGGGCCCAGGTAGAACCACGAGCAGGCTATGGGCGGGGGTTAAGTCCTCTCCTGCACGGGTGGTCTTTGCTCCTGCCAAAGACTAGCGCGAAACAACGTCCTTGTGTCTAAGTGTAGGGCACATTATCAGGGCCTTTGGGTGAAGGATGTCTTTCCTGTTATAAACATGGGGGAGCACAGGAAATAAAGTTTATGATAAAAGGCTTAACAATTTCGGGTAAAATACTGGAACTTAGTGGTCCTGTGGTTTTTTAAAAAAATGTTCCTTTGACTCCCGGGAAGATAGCTGAGACCGGTCTGGCATTAGGCGTGTCTCAATTTGAACAGAGCTGTGCGGTCACTGGCTGCTTGGGAAATGGTGTAACTTGGCCTAGTTAGGGTGGAAACGAAAACGCAGGACACCGGCAGATGCCTGCCACATAAACCCTCCCAACTGGTTGCTTAAAGATTTTTTTCTCCTTTCTGTTTTAGAAATTGTCTTTTTGACTTTGTTGGGAGAAATCAACCTATTGGTTACAGACCTTGCTCGCAGCACACAATGTGTTAATTAGCCTGCGCTCCTGTGGCGCCCCTACTACTCTGAGCCTGCGGGTGGTAACAGTTGCCTCCTCGCGAGGATGGGAAGAGGTTTCAGTGAAACAGCAGGTGGGAAAACAGACCAGAAATGGCATCGTGCTGGTAAAATGGCTGCAGGACGCTGTTCTGCGGTGAGGAAAGGGTAGCCTCTGGGATGGGCCTGAACTTGCTTTCAAGATTTTCCAAATACGTGGCGCACAGTTGGATGGGATCTTGCCCTGCCCATTGTCGGTGGCCTCATTTGTTCTCTCTCCTGTTCTGCAGTCAGATTTGCCCACACCCCACTTTTCCTGGTTTCCTGCCTCCCACACATGCTGAACTTCTCTGTCTTTGATTTTTTTACCCCTTCCTTCCTGCCTAGCAAACTCCTACTCATCCTGCAGGCATCTGCTTGGCCCACGCCTTCCCCGGGTGGTTTCTCTGACCAGCCCCTCCCAGTTGCTCTGTGTAACTGCCACACAGTTGGCACTTGCCATTGCTTATCTAGTTGTCACCCAGTACTCTCTGAGCTCTGATTTGGTCACCACAGTACTTGCTCACCTTAACAATTACTGAGCCTGGTACATGCTAAGTGAACAAAGATAGCAGAATTGATTAATTCATTCAGTAGAGTTTAAGAATGCCTAGTATGTAGCAAGCATATGTATGCACAGAACAGTGAATAAAACCCCTTCCCTGAAAGGTAGGACAGTAGCAGAGTATGATGTAAAAACATGAGAAGTGAGTAAATTATCTGGTGTGTTAGAAGGTGAGTGCCATGGAGAAAAACAAAAGAAAATAGAGCAGGATACGGGAGAGGACAGTGGGAATAAGGGAATTGCAATGACGAGCCAGTGGATGTAACGCTGACCATAGAGGGGCTCAGTGGGGCCAGCTTCTGCCGTGAAAACTTCAAGATGGTTATTTGTTCCAATAAAGTCAGGTTTGCCTTTGCTTACTTGTCAGGAGGAAGAGGGAAAATGTGTTTTGTAAGACCCCAAGAAATAGGCTAAGCACTTATTTGGGAACATTTCCATCATGGTTTCACTTGACTTACTTAAAAAAGGTCAGGGGTGACTTCATCTGCCAGCAACTCAGAGGGATGAGCACCTGAGAGAAGGGAGGCTTCCGGGAAGTGTTACTACTGCTCCAGGAGGGAGTCAGGAACTTGAACTCCTCAACCTGCAGTCAGTAGGGGCCTTCTGCATTCCTCACAGGCTCACTCCCCCCCCCCAGCACTCCACCTGTTACTGCGTTTCTTTAGTGAAAAGCCCAAACTCCTTTTGCACCCGACACATTCCTGTACCTTTCACGACTTAGCTCAAATGTAAGCACAAGACACCGTTAGATCATATCTGTCCTTTATTTAACAGTGTACTTTGGCCAGCCGGCATGGCTCGGCGGTTGAACCTGGACTTAGGATCCAGGAGATGGAGGTTCGGTTCCCGGTCAGGGCACATGCCTGGGTTGTGGGCTCGATCCCTAGCAGGGTGCGTGTAGGAGGCAGCCGATCAATGACTCTCATCGACGTTTCTCTCTCTCCCCCTTCTCCTTTCCTCTCTCTGAAATCAATAAAAACATAATTTAAAAAAAGAGTATAGATAGACAGGAGCTAGGGGGTCAGGTTAACCATCCAACAGCTGTGTCCCCTGGGAAACTCTACCTCCCCTAGTCTTCATTTCCTGTAGATTGTTGCAGATTAAATGCACTGGTATCTACAAAGTGCTTAGAACAGTGCCTGCCTGGCACAGAAAAACCGAGTGAGCACTACCTATCACCATTATTACTGCTCTCAGAGTTGAGTACAGTATCAGGTATCTGATGAGTTACAGAAGTGAACTGACCAATCTCTCTCTTTTTACAGGAGGAGCAAATGGGCTTTAGACATGTCTTTTCCCACCACTGGTCACTGCTGGACACTGTGGCATCTCACAACCCAATGAAAATGAGAGACTAGAAGATAGAGACATATTTTTAACAATTGTGGAAGGATCAGTAAGAACCTGGCTAGAACATCTTTTTTTTTCTTCTGAGTATAAAAATATTAAATGTTCATTTAGAACTTTGCGAAAAGAGAAATATATAAAGCAAATATAGGTATCATGTTATATATACATACATACAATTTTCTAGGTAACATGCTTAGAAACACAATTTTTATAGATGTATAACTACTTGTGTAATTAGTCTTCTGTTATTGGCTATTTAGATTGGGTTCCACCTTTATGCATTATAGATCATATTAATCACACATCTTTGTACATAAATCTTTGTTTAAATATTTGATTGTTTCCTTTGGATAGACTTCTACAAGTAGAAATACTAAATCACAAAGTAAATCCATTTTTAAGGCTCTTAATACACCTTGCCAAATTTTCATTCAGAAGGACCATGCCAATTTATAATCCCAACATAGTGTGGAAATTGCTGTTACAGCACTCATATTCACAAAGACCTTTTTTAAAAAGCACTGTTAAAAAAATTTTTTTTGGAAGTTGTATTTATTTCATCGTTAGTGAGGGTAATTCCCCCCACCACACACACATTTTTATTAGCTATGACCCTATAGGAAATAAACTGCTGAAAACAATGGGCATAATTTTAATCATTCCATGGGGAGTCACTAAATAAAAATATGTAGGATCTTAGATTAAGATGAAGTTGGAAAAAAACAAAAAACACACCTAATATTTATCAGGTGCCGCCTCTGCCAAGGACTCTGCTGGAGTAATACACTGCATTTGGGATGTGTTCAACCAAAATTACTTTTACCTACATTGTCTCTTATAAGTCTCCTAACTTCCCCATGAGAAAGGTGGTCTTGACTATAACAGGACAACTGCAACAATACACAAACCCTGTCCTTAAAAACCTCCCGTGTCTCCCCAGTCTGCAGGGTAACTGCCAAGTTTCTCAGGCAGGAATTTGGGGACCTTCACACGGTTTTCCTCTGTTGACCCCTGGGCTCTGACCCCAGTTCATTGCTCCCTCAGCAGCCTCCTGGGAGGGCCCACCTTGGTGAGCAAACTCATATCCTGACTTCTCACTAAGGTGAGTTCTAGGACAAGCCAAGGAGCATCCTGGACATTGTCCCAGTACCTCTTGTCCCCACAGCTCTGCAGACACACCTACCAGCCCAGGCCTGGGCTTGTGATCTGGGTCTGCAGTTCCCACTGAGCTCTTCGGGACAGGGTTCTGCCACACATTTTTCAGTTGATTGAGGGTAGGGACTGTATCTGCTTTTCTATTTCTGTATTTGGGGTGAGGGTAAAGGTGGGCAGGGTGGGGTGTGGATTTGAATGAATGAAAACAGAAGCAACACTCTGTTGAGGACAATAGCCCTGAGGGTGACCTGGTTTGGGTCAAGCAGGTATCATGTGTGAGATCCTTGCCACTTATTCCATCCTTGAGGCTCTTCTGTCAGGCTGCAGGGACCCAGGGGTGGTTCTAGTCACAAGCAACCCACATACCTGGTAGATTATAATTTATTAGATTGTGTTTGCCCCAATAAGGTCACACCCTGCAGTTTTTAGACGATTCTATAAGCATCTAATTCTGCAGTGAGGCATCTAGGAGATCTGTGTTACTTCTCTGATACACATACACAATTGTCAATGAAAATCAGGGTATGAATAATTTATTTTCTC